CTCTCTCTCTCTCTCTCTCTCTCTCTCTCTCTCTCTCTCTCTCTCTCTCTCTCTCTCTCTCTTCATCTCTCGCTCGCTGTTCGTGTCTTTCATGCATGGGTCAGTACATACCTTTCCTTGCTCTGCATAACTGCAAGAGGTGATGGCCACAGAAGTGGAAGGACTAGAAGGAACTGGGACTTACAGGGACTGAGACAGGGACTGTTTGCTGTTCCTTGCTAGTGTCCCAAGCACGAACAGAAAACAGTCTTGGTTCAGCCCTTCCTTGGGAGTCCTTTGACTGAATCCAAGGGTCAAATTCTTCGCTCTGAAAGCAGCTGTTGGACAAACGGCAAGTGGTGGTGGCTGTCGAACCAATCATTAACCCGTATTGCAGTCAGCCGAAGTACCTCTGCTTGCCTGCTGCTCTCATCGAGATTGTGGTTAAACTGCAATTTCATTGCCGACGGAGTGAAAAGCACCGCCACATGCACAAGTGCATCCCCTTGCTGATGCAGAAAACACATCGAGAAAGCATATGGACAGAGAAATGCATCAAACGGACGGTTAGTGTTTCTGAGAAAGACGCGTCAACCAAGAAATCCAACAAAGCGTTAAGTGTTTCTGACAAACAGCAGGACCTTGGCTACTTTCGCATACATGGAACACTACCGCCTTCACCCGAATAGAATGCCCGGTGACTACATACTAGGTTACCAGAGTGGCCCAGGACCATTCATTTTTTAATTAATTTTTTTATTTTAAATTTGGTAAAGACTTTGGATGCGACCCTGAGGCAAAAGTTGTTCAGTTTATTTTTCTGCATGACATAGTTTCTTTTTCGGACTATTTGGATTTTTATTTATTTATTTTTTTGCTGGGACCTTGCCTGGTCCTCGCACGGCCGGGCCGCCGGGGAAAACAAGGTGACCCGGGCAGCCCGGCTAGTAGCCTAGACTACATCTATATTTGGAGCTACTTCCAGTCCAGACGTAACGATAATGACACGACATCCTATTCTGGTGAAGACGGTAGCAATCTTGGGAGAAGTTGTGTTCCGGCCTGGGAGAGCGAAGCCACGGGAGAGTGAAGTAGAGAGCCAATCAGAACAGCAACAAAACCAAGCCACGGGAGAGTGAAGTAGACAGCCAATCACAACAGGAACAAAACCCAAAAAAAAAGTCAGTTACAACCATACTTGCAAGCGGACGCCGTCTGGGTGGTTCCGCACGTGCGGCAGACCGCCGGACCGGACCCGCGCGGCGCACGAATGTGCGCGCGACGACCTGTTTCAAAAACAATGTGCTCCAAAAACTGGTACTGTCATTCAGTATATGTTTTCCAAGCTCTAAATGCCGTCTATTTGTCCTTTTTTTTGAAGGGTAAACCTCTAGTGAGGGCATACTCACACCAGCACTTTTCTAAAGATATCTGACTGCAAATACGGCTGGATCTGGATGCATCTGACTGCAATCTAGTCCACAGCAGAGTCAAAACAGTCATACTAGTATGCCCCGAAAAGCTGCCGATCCTGTAATTTGTAAAATGAAACTCAGATGCTCGCGAGTTGCTAATTCCCCTTAACTGGACAACTGTCTAAGAAAGTCCTATTCTCAGCTACTCACATTTTACATGAGAATTCTCCCATCATGCAATGATATAGCAGTCTGCAAAACTTCATCTCAGTTCTAGAGATTATAACAAATCGTACAGCATAGTGCCCAGTGCGAGGAATGAGTCCTCGCGAGGCCCTTCTCGGGCATGCAAATGTTCTGGGCTACGGCCCCCAGCAAGCCCTGTTCCTGCCCTAAGTGAAGGCGGGCCTGTACATCCACGTGAGGCCCATTTCCAACATTTTTCGTAAGTGGGGTATCAGACAGTTGCCGCACACCAGTTGGTTGCAGAGCATCGTGAGCGTCTCCTGGCTCTTTCCAGAAGAAGCAGCTGCGTCGTACAGTTGAGCCCAGGGCACAGGTAGTTGCGCCCTGGCACGCAGTGGGAGGCCGACACATCACGCAGAGGCCGCGGGCCAATGAAAATGCAGCATTGTCATGACACATGGACCGCAAGCCAATGAGAATGCGGCAAACACTTGGAGCCTGTAGGCCAGCCTGGACGTGCCCAACTGCGAAGAGGCCCAGGCCCGGAACAGCAAAGGGAGGCCTTGGCACAGATACTGGGGCCCGACTGGAAGCTACTGGAAACTCGTCAGCCAGGCCCACGCAGCTAAACACAGGGCCGCACTTTTCCATACAGGAAAGTGCCCTGCCCAGGCAGGGGCATTCTGGCCTGAGCAGGCAATGTGGCCACGCTGCTGCTACGCCATGTGATGCTGCGCTCAACAGGCAGACCAGGGCACACGTGGGCGCAAGAGGCGAGAGGGCGCTGCGGCGGCAGTGGGTGCACGGCGGCCATAGCCGGGTCGAGTGTGTGGTGGCAGGTAACGGCGAAGGTGGTCTTCGGATAGGGAGGCGCAGGCAGAGGGGAGACAAGGTGGGATGAGGGGAGGAGAGAGAACGTACCTGGTGTATGCTGACGGTCTACATAGGTGACGACGTCACGTACGGTGGTCTTCAACTTCGATGTGATCCAGTTGCGTGAACGTAGATAGGGGTAGATAGGCTGAGTAGTATAGGCTGGGCGGTGGGCCCTGGGCGCCAGACAGTAGGAGCGACATTGGATACTGTGTGGGTGTGGCCAGAGAGCGTCTACATTGACATATGAGTTCATTGCACTGCTCTTATTTGAATGGTATCTTGGGGCATTGTGCTCTCTGCTTGGTACATGACTATCTGGACTACTTCGTGATTTTCCAACTTGGATTTCTGTCTATTGCTCTCGCTCATATTCCTTGCACCAGGTAGTTAGAGTCAACTGAATAGACCGAGTCAGTATTTTTTTTTTTTGGAAAAGGGTGACAGCCCTGAGATATCATCGTGAAACGGACTGGCCCAGTAGGTAACTCGGCAATTTGGTTCATCTCATTCCGAACGCAGGTCTGCATTTCAGCAGTTTATGGGTGTACTAACTGAGCTAAGCCCGAGTCTGCATTAAATAAGGGAGGCAGACAAAACCACCCCAGTCCGAATGGACGTGGGGGTGTTTGCACGTCCCAGTAAAGAACTGCACCCGGACGGGCCAGCTGCAAGCCAAGGTAGTTCGGCTAAGGCCAAGCCTTAGGTACGTCTGCAGACCTGAGAACATCCTATGCTGGGGGTACTTAATTCTGTGTGTTGTTGTTGAAACCCTCAAAAACATCCTGTCAAGGCATACTGTGGTCAAGGGGAGACTAACGGGTGATCGGTCATTCTATCAAAACCATAAGAGGACCACCCCCCCCCC